GACTCGATGGCACATAACAACAACAACAACTCACCAAAGCAGGAGGTGGAACAATGTTTTGTGCAGTATGTTATGCCATTTGAGCTTGATGTCCTTCAGGATAGATCTTGAAACATTTTTTTTGACCATAAATGCCACGCCATTCATCTTCAATCTGTCATTCCTGGTATGATAGATCGTTTGATTATCTGATTCAAAATGGCCAAAACCAATCAGCTCACTAATACCTAGAATATCAATCTTTATGTGTTCCATTTCATTTTTGACAACTTCCAATTTTCTTACATTCAAACTTTGTACATTCCATGTTCTGATTATTCATAGATTTTTGCAGCTGTTTTTTTCCCATTTTGAGTCATGCCACATCAGCAAATGGAGGTTCTGAAAGCTTTACTCCATCCACATCATTAAGGTTGACTCTACTTTGAGGAGGCAGCCCTTTCCCAGTCATATTTTGAGTGCCCTCCAACCTGAGGGGCTCATCTTCTGGCACCATATCAGACATTGTTTCAGGGCTATTCATAAAGTTTTCCAGTAATATAAGAGACAGTGTTTCACTGTTATTTGTAAGCTTTTCACTGGCCAATTCTCTGAGAAGTGGATGGCCTCTTCCTTCTTCCAAGTCTGTCTTAGTCTGGAAGGTCTGCTGAAACCTGTCTACCATGGATGACCCTGGTATAACCTCATGTCATAACCTCCAGCTTCATAGCAACATGCAAGCCATCACAGTATGACAAACCGACAGACAAGTGGTGGACAATGGCATGAGACAGCAAGAAATGCTGGCAACAACAGCAGAGCCCAGCAACAGAGAAACGGCGGCAGCAGTACGAGCAGCTTGAGCCACAGGACCAGCAGATGGCTGTGGTGGGTTTGCGGGCCCACAGAGCAAGAGAGAGCTGAGTGCCTTTGGGCAGGAGGCTGGCCAGCAGAGCATGGTGCCTCTAGGAACTTGTCAGCAGACCTAAAGTGTTGTGACACTTGCCTAAGCAGGGCAGAGCCTGGCATGGTCAAGAGGAGAGTCTGCTTGCAGGCACAGCTGAGGAGCTGAGACTCATCCTGGTTGAAAGCTCTCCTGACTGGTAGACTGTATCCTGTCTCCTGAGTTATTACTTTGAAGTTGATCTTGGTCCCGAGTTGTAGGGTGTTACTTCCCTAATAAATCACGCAATTGTGAGTATGGTCTCTGAGTTCTCTGTGGCCATTGCACTGAATCACTGAACCCAGCAGAGAAGTAGAGAGTGCCGTGGGAGGGAAGGCTGGTGCCAGAAAGGATTTTGCAGAGTGGAGGTATGTCTGACCTCCACCTCATAGAATCCAGCTTTGTGCTGATCCTGAATCTGATCCCTCTTTCTGAATATAGACAGGCTCTGATGCTACTGGGTTATAGCAGGAAACCCCTTGTTTTGTTCAACCTTTGCTCTTTTTCCTTCTTGACTTTTTAAATTTAAATTTAATTTTTCATTACAGAAGAAGAATATGAATATGTTCTTGGCATAAAAGATTCAACCCATACTCAAGCACTAACAGAACTGGAAGTCCCCTGTCCCATTCCCTCATACCACCCCTTTTCTTGTTCTTCTCAGGAAGTGATGCATAGACCCTTGGGTCTGCACCCTCCCAGCCCTTCTGAACCTCACAACAGAGCCAACCCCCTCCTTGTACATCTTCACCCCATGCACTATTCACCTGTGTAGGTATAGGGGCTCCAGTGTGTGAAAAAGGCTCACAATGAGGGAGAAGAAGTCAAATCTGTGATGCCTTTTGACATGAATCTGCTAGAGTCATAAACTGTGTAGCAAACAGGCTTGTAGAAAAAAACCAAGTCTTGAAACTGAGTAAAAAGTGAGTCAGGCCACTAAATCTGTGTGGAAATTTACAGGCTAAAAGCCCTCAGTCACAGAGAGTGAAGGGACCCAGGGACAAGCACAGCAGACAGATGTGGCCCTTGCCGCTGTCGGCAAGTCAACGCCGACTCATGGTGACCCCGTGTGTGTCAGAGTAGACCTGGGCTCCGCGGGTTTGCAAAGGCTGAGTTTTTGAAAACAGAACTTGAGGCCTCTCTTGAGGCCTTTGGGTGGGTTCAAAAGGGTCCATCCTTTGGGTCAGCAGCCACACACAGACCGTCTGCACCACCTGGTTCATCACCCCACCCTTCCATTTCTAGCAAGTGTCATCTCAGCAAGCAGGCCCTACTTCAAGGTCACGGGGTTAACAAGCCCACTTAGAAACCCAGCTTTAGGATGAGATCCCAGCCAAGGTGAGAGAGTCCACTTAAGTGTGATGGGTACAGTGTACCCCACCCACCCATTGCCCTCTCTTTTTCTCCCACATTTGAATAAACGCAGAATGATTGTGATTCCAGCAGTGAGCACTCTCAAGGGCACTGAGCTCACATGCTTTTTCCAGTTTCTTTACGAGGTTCCTGCTGCAGCGCCATGGCCTCTGGTTTTAACTTACTTGTTAATACTCTGTTGAGCTATCAGCTACTGACCAAAAGGCTGGCAGTTTGAACCCACCCAACAGTGCTGTGGAAGAAAGCCCTGGCAGTCTGATTCCATAAAGATCACACCCCAATGACATACCACACAAAAACATTGTTCTACATCATGCTTTGGTGAGTAGCGACTGGGGTCTTGCCAAGTGGCCATCTAGATGCAACAACGATGGGTCTCTCCTCATCCAGAGCAAAGAAGAATGAAGAAAACCAAAGATGCATGGAAGCAATCAGTTCAAGGGACTGGTAGACTGTTACTTTCAGTCTGTATGTCCCAGAGACCAGAAGAACTAGATGGTACCCAGCTACCACTGTCAACCACCTGGAGGGGGTTTGGTACAGGAGATCCTGGATAGAGTGGGAGAACAATGCGGAACAAAACTCAAAATCATTAAAAAAAAAAAAAAAAAAGAAAGAAGATCAGGTTTGCTGGTCTGATAGAGCCTGGTGAGACCCCTGAGACTATGGCCCCTAGTTACTCTTCAGGTCTGGAACTGAACTCACTCCTGTGGCTTCCAGCCAAACAATAGACAGGCATATGGGGTGAACGTTTACATCAGGTAGATACACTCCTTGGAGAGATCAATCGTGGAAAAACAGAAAGGCAGTGTTTGCACAGGGAGACAGCATAGGGGACAGGAATGCATAGGAAGAAAGGACACAGAGAAGAGGTAACTACAGGGAGGAAGTGGGAAGAGAGCTGTTACATTGTGGGGAATTGCAGTCAATGTCATGAAAAAAATGTGTATGCATTGCTGTATAGAAAATGAATTTGCTTGGTAAACTTTCACCCAAATCACAATAAAAATTAAAGATCACAGCCCAGGAAACTCTGTGGAGCTCAGTCCTACTCTATAACACAAGGAGTTGCCACAAGTCAGAATCAACTCAGTAGCAATGGGTTTGCAGAGTTTTGGGTTGAGCTATCAAATGACCTCTGTCAGATATACAAGTCTGAGGCTAGGGTGGGGGGTGGGGGATCTGCTGAAGGGCAGTTGAGGTGAGTGCCAGCCCTTTGGGCAGTGGTTTCTGCTAAGCCGCCTCCATCTGGGGACAGATGCCAGTGATGTTAGACATTAGCACCAGGACACGGATTCAAATGGTGCTCATCAGAGGCATGTGGTCCTGCCCCTGAATGGCAACTAGAACTCTCTGTACTTTTAAAACTGTCTTCTCTCTTTAATAATACATTATAACTAATTAATATTACGTTAACATAATTATTGTTGTTGCTAGTTGCCATCAAGTTGATATTCCAACTCAAGGTGACCCCATGTGTGCAGAGAAGAACTGTTCCGTAGAGTTTTCAAGGCTGTGACTTTTTCAAAGCAAATTGCCAGACTTTTCTTCTCCAAGGTGCCAGTGGGCTCAAACTACCAACCTTTCAGCTAGTAGTTGAACGCTTAACTGTTTGTAATTTAATTAATATTTAATCATAATTAAATACTGTTTAATATTCTACTCAAGGCCTTAGAATTGAATCTGGGTAAATCCACTGGGTGTGTAGTGTGGTTCTACTTGGCAGAGCCTTGATAATTATGTTGAGTGAATGAGACAAAAGGAGACATCTGGGACTGGCAGGTCCAAGGACCTCCAAAGACAGCTGAGCACTGCAGGTGTGTTAGCCAGCTATGGCCGCATAACAAATGTCAAAAGTCAGTGCCATTATGTCTTCTATGATCCTGGAACCTGACTGGGCTGCCAAATGGTTCTTCCACGGGTCTTACTTGGGGCGGCCTATGCAGGGGCAACAAGGGCTGAAATGTTTATGAGACTGTGCTTACATGCCATCCAGGGACACTGGGGTTTCCAGACCTCTTCCTTTCCATGTACCTTCTGCAGCCAGGCAGCCAGACCCCCTTCATGGAGCTCAGGGCTCTGACATGGTGGCTATGGAGGGTACCATGGCCAGGACTGGCCCAGATCTGGGGAGGGAACCCACAGAGTGTGAGCATGTGCGCTGCAGTTGGGGTACTGTCTCTGAGCCCCACAGCTGTCTCTCCTGTGTCCTCTAGGCCCTGGATGCCTTGCGGGAAGCCCTGGCCCACTCCCAGCCACAAGAGTTGTCGGTGCCTCTGGCTCACTTCCGTGATCAATGCCAGCAGAACAGGTCTTGCTGCTTCCTCGCTGCCCAGAAGGGGGCCTATCCTGTGCTTCTCACTGCCTGGCAGCTAGCCACAGAGGGCAACCCAGCCCTCCTGCTCCAGGTGCTGGACACCCTCACAGCACTTACAGATGGCCAGCCTGACCTGCTAGATGCCCAAGGCCTCCAGCTGCTGGTGGCCACACTGGCCCAGGGCGCTAGCGCAGCTGACCTCACCTGTGCCGCGCTCCGCCTGGTACGCCATGCCTGCCTGAAGCACGAGCAGAACCGGCAGGCCCTGGTGAAGGCTGGCGTGCTGCCCCTGCTCACTGGAGCCATCTCTCAGCACGGCAGCTATGCTGACGTGGTCCGAGAGGCCTGTGGGGCACTCCGTGTCATGACCTTTGACGATGACATCCGCGTGCCCTTCGGCCATGCCCACACTCATGCCAGGATGATCGTGCAGGAGAACCAGGGCCTGAAGGTGCTGGTCAAGGCTGCCCAAGGTAGGGGGCATGGGATAGACCCAGAGACGTCCTCCTCTGAGGCCAGGCTCAGCTGGGCAGTTTAATCTGCCCAAGATAGGGGGACATGGGTGATGCTGGGGGCACGGCCTCCTCTGTGGCTTGGGCCTCAGCTGGATGGTTCGTGTGCTGGCTGCCCAGGAGGTCTCCAGGCCAGGCCTCATTGGCCAGGCCCAAAGGGCCTCTCTCTGGAGCTCCTTGGGGAGGGGAGTTCAGGCATACAGATAGAATGGGGAAATGAAAGTACCCCCAGGGAAATTGGGGTGCTGTTTCCAAAGACAGAGTCCTTGATGCCTACACTATGGCTGGTCCTGATGAGGTTCACACTCCTGCCATATTCGGCCATAAATCTGTACATGTTTACGTGCCCCACTCTGCCCATGCTGGTCCCACCGTCACAGTGCTGATGCTCAGACCCTAGAGCCACTGTCCAGTTCACTGCTTCTACCTGAGGAGGGCCTGACCAGGGCCTGGAGCCTAGAAGGTGCTGGGGAAGTGATTGGCTCTGTCCTGCTACCCTGTGACCCCATCCACAGCTGTGTGAGCAGCGTGGGCATGTCCATGCCCCCTGAGAGGGCAACACAGGCCTGGCAGTCTCATGTCAGCTGCTCCTCTGTTGGTGCTCAACACCCGTCTTCTTCACTTATGGGAACTGTGTCAGCCTAGGTTCTCCAGGAAACAGAACCCACGTAACATATATATATATGCAGTCCTTGGGTAGCAGAAGTGCTTAACCCGCTTGGCTACTCACCAAAAGATTGGACATTTGAGTCCACCCAAAGACACCTCAGAAGAAAGGCCTGGTGATCTACTTCCAAAAAACTAGTCACTGAAGATTCCATAGAGTACATTTCTGCTCTGCACACATTCAGTCGTAATCAACAGCAACTAACAACAAATGTATCTCTATCTCTATATCCATCAAAAAAAAAAAAAAAACCAAACTCATTGCCATCAAGTCAGATCCCACTCGTAGTGACCCCTTCTTGGGTTTTGGAGGCAGTATCACTGCAGAAGTAGGTTGCCCAATCTTCCTTCCGAGGAGTGGCTGGAGGGTCTGAACCACTATCTATATATAAAAACAAAAACCAAACCCACTGCTATGAGTTGATTCTGACTCATCCCAACCCTATAGGACAGAGTAGAACTGCCCCATAGGGTTTCCAAGGCTGTAATCTTTATGGAAGCAGACTGCCTTATCTTTCTCCTGTGGAGCAGCTGGTGGGTTTGAACCACCAAGGTTAGCAGCCCAAAGCTTTTAACCACTATACCACCAGAGCTGCTTTAGCTCTGTATAGTAAGAGATTCATCTCATGGATTCAGCTCACATGATGGGGCTGCAAGTCTAAGACCTGCAGGGCAGAGCAGGTGGACACGGGCAGGGGCCGAGCCTGTGGTCCCTGTGCAGAATTCCTCCTCCTTTCTCTGGGTTTGTTCTTAAGGTCCTCAGCTGAGAGATGAAGCCCACCAGATTTGGAGGGTGGTCTCCTGTACTTACTCCCTGGTCTGTGGGTGTTAGCCATGTCTACAGACTGGCACAGTACCAGTCGGGGTCAGCTTGAATAACAGTCAAGTGTAACTGACCCTCATGGGTCTCCTCATGGGCTGTGGTACCCACCCTCAAACTGGGGATCTCTGCGAAGGCATCCCCTCCAGGTACCTGTGCGGGCTGCAGCATCACTGTGTGCTGTGTCTGGCCAGCCGTCCACATTTCCCTCTAGGGCATCTGGGTTTTGTGTCACACTTAGAAAGGTTCATGCCCATCCCAAGATCATAAAATTGTCTCGAGTGTTCTATTTTAGTGCTTTGCTGGTTTCATTTTCCAAGTGAGACTGTCAGTTAGTTGTCTGGGATTTCTATGGGGTGTGGGGGACAGACCATGCCTATCCCTCAGCAGCCAGCAGGGGGCGCTGCAGGCCCATCCCCAGAGCACTCTCTTCAGGTGCAGCCTCAGGTGTCAGTGGGCCTCCAGACCTCTGGGTGCAGGTGGTGCCCCATGAGGCAGAGGGGCTGGGCCTCCCTGATCAGAGCTGCAGCCCCCACTAGTAGAGGTGGGATCCATACCTGAGACCTCTGACCCTAAGCCCAGCTGGTTCTCCTACCCAGATCCACCATCCTCCTTCCAGGTCCTCCCAGGCTTCCCCTGGGTCCCTGCTGGAGCCCCTCCTGATCCCCTCATCTTCCTAATTCCCCCCAGCCCCTTCCCCAGGTCTCCTATCCCCTCCTGAACCCCCTCCCCCCATACATGCTCTCTCCCTCTACCCCCACCCCACAGCATTTCCTGACAACCCCAGCGTCCTGGGCGAGCTGTGCAGCACCCTGTCGCGCCTGGCTGTCCGCAATGAGTTCTGCCAGGAGATCGTGGACCTTGGGGGCCTGGATGTCCTAGTGGCCCTGCTGGATGATGACACCAACCACCAGGTGGGCACCAAAGACCCCCTTCTTGGGTTCCTTCCATTGTTTCCCTCAACCCTGGGCAGTGAGCTCTGTCCCTGTGCCTCAGCTGGCCCGGACCCCAAACCCCAGACCTTACCTTGACTCGGGATGGTTCAGAGGGAGGCCCCACACCCTGGCTGGCCTCAGGTTCCTCATCTATAAAATGGAGTGGGGACCCTGTTCATCCTGCTTTCATCTAACAGCATTTATCAGGCTAGGGCAGAGCCAGGAAAGCCCCTCAGTGGTACCTCGCCCACAGCATTGATGGTCATGCTGTCCCCAGCTGGTGGCATCACCAGGACACAGCCTGTGCACCAGACAGAAAGTCAGACTTGAACTGGTTTAAACTGGCTTCATCAAATAAGGGAAGGCATTTTGCCTGCGCTGCTGAAAATTCCTGAAAAGGGCTGAACCTCAGTTTCCCTCCCTCTCAGCTCTGCCTCCCACCTTACCCAGCTGTGGCCAGGACCCATGAGGTGATTGACTGGCCTGAGTCACATGCCCACAGAGGGACAGAGTCCACACACCCACACTGCCAAGCTGAACCAAGGTGTCTGGATCCCCATCCACCTCCTGGGCTCCTTCTTCTGCCAGCGGGGATCCCTGCCCATGGCCACACCTGTTCAAACTTGAACTGCCTGTGTGGCAGCTACAGAGTGGCTGCCCCAGACCCACACAGGAGTCCCCACAGCCCAGCCACCAGGAGCTGACTGCTCTGTCCTCACCACAGGACCTCGTGAAGCAGGTGCTAAGTGCCCTGCGTGCCATCGCAGGCAATGATGACGTGAAGGATGCCATTGTCCGTGCCGGTGGGGCCGAGTCCATTGTGGCTGCCATGACCCGGCACCAGGCCAGCCCCCAGGTGCACACTGTTGGGGGTGGGAGTGTGGTGTCCCAGTCAATGTGGGCATCTACCTGGTACTCCTCCCACTTCCTTAGACCAGGGCTAGGTGGAGGAGAGGGAGGCTGCGTGGGTGGGAGAGGCAGAGGGATGAGGCATCCAGGTGAGGAGAGCAAGAGATTAGGGTGAGGCATTCAAGGTGTCCCTGCATGCACCCACCCCGAGAGCAGGGCCCCTGGCCTGGAGTGACTGCCACACCAAGGAGGGCCTGACTGGGGTGGTTCAAGGTGTCCCTTTTCACCTGGTATCTTCACTGTTGTTGGCCTGTTACCAGCTGAGGTGACACCAGCCCATCTGGGGGTGGGAGAGGTCTCACTATCTACTCCCCTGGGACTCAGACACCCTTTGCTCCCCCTCCCCCAGGTGTGTGAGCAGAGCTGTGCAGCCCTTTGCGTCCTGGCCCTTCGCAAGCCGGAGAACAGCCGGGTCATCGTGGAGGGGGGTGGGGCCCTGGCCGCACTGGAGGCCATGAGGACACACCCACAGGAAGCCGGTGTGCAGGTGGATGGGGAGAGGGGCAGGTGTGGGGACAGGTGGGAGGGTAGCCCTCCTTCCTACCCTGGTTGCTTCATCTAACCCACCCCCAGTTGATGGCTTGGCATCTCCCCTGCTCTCTTCCTAGGTCTTACCCCTTGTCCGTTTTTTGTTCTTTTTAGAAGAGTCTGGGATAGAGAAGGAAATACAGGAAGCAGATATGGGTCTGCTGGTGCTTTGGAAGGCCCCCTGGCTGGTCCAGGGTACATGATAAGTTTTAGATGTGAGGACACCACTGGCCATGCCTCGTGGTTGGTCCTCCTCCCCACGCACCTGGAACCCAGATTCCTTGCTAGGCCCCTATCCTCCTGCCTCTCTGCCTCTACTCACCCACACCCCAGCACAGTGCCTCATCTAGGACCCCACACCTAGATTTTCCTCTGGCTCACCCACCACCTAGTCCATCCCCAACCACCCTGGCCAGGCAGCCCCTTACTTCTCACCCTCTAGAGGCAGATACCACCACAGTGCCCCCATGCCTGCACATGGCCAATGCCCAGTGAACAAATGAGTAACGATGAACCCACACACAGCTACCCTCTTCTATGCCAGTGTCCCTTGGGGTCCTGTCTTGGCTCTGAGATAGCCCTTGGGACCTCGGGCCCCCACTTACCTGTTCTGAGCTGCTGAAAGGTAAAATGAAAGCATGGACCAGGCCTGGCATAGTCAGCCATATTCCTCATTGGTGCTTCCTATTAGGTGATGATCCTGAGGCCAGAGTATACCCTGTCCCAGGGCCCCACAGCTCACACCACTCCTCCCCTCCCCAGAAACAGGCCTGCATGCTGATCCGCAACCTGGTGGCCCGCAGCCAGGCCTTCTCACAGCCCATCCTGGACCTGGGGGCTGAGGCACTCATCTCTCAGGCCCGCGCTGCCCACCGTGACTGTGAGGACGTGGCCAAGGCTGCACTGCGTGACCTGGGCTGCCGCGTGGAACTGTGTGAGCTGTGGACAGGCCAGAAGGGTGACTTGGCACTGTGACCCACTGAGCTACAGGGACTCAGGGTGAGTTGAGGGCTGCAGCAGGCATGGCCACCCTGCACTTTGTACCATAGCTGAGCCTGCCTGCTCCCACAGCAAGAGGTGCATCTGACAACACAGCTGGCAAGAAGTGCCCATCCTAGCTGCCCTGGCCCCACTTCCCAGCTCTTTCCTCCCAGAAGGACTTTCACAATGTTGCCAGAAATGGGGGGTCTGCTGCTTCCCTGTAATGCCTGGTACCCACTGTTGGTGTCTCGCAGCTGTCTGTGTGCAGGGGTTGAGTACTGCCTCTGTCTTCACCTGTAAAATGGGTCTCAGACACATGCGCTGCTGGCCAGTAGGCAGGTCTGTGCATGTCTGTCCAGTGGTACATGGGAATAAAGACCGTGGATGCAGGGCGGATGGTGCCTGACCTGTAGCTAAGCAGGATGAGGGCCGTGGCCTCAGGAGAACAGGGAAGGGAGACGGTTTGCTGAGGGCTTGCTGAGAAAAGCTAAGGGGTTTCGAGGGCAGCTTGGGCATTTGATTTGTGGACAGGTTAGTGGTGCCCAGGGCTAGAATGGGGGCTCTGCTGGTGCCAAGAACACATTATCTAGGGAACTGGGATCCCAGCACCTGAGCCAACATTGAGAACCACCCCCCAAGCCTTGGTGGTCCCCATAAAACAGCAATGCAGAGTGTACTTCAAGGGGTGATGCGAGGCCACAGTGGGTAGCCCCAACAGTCCTAGCTTCATCTTCTGACATCACCAACCTGGTCACCAAGCCTCCCACACAACTAACCTACAGCCCCTGCCAGCCAACCCCCAGCCATATCAAAGTCCTCATTCACCCGGTGCCCTGGACAGGCTACACCCTCCCTGAACCTGTTTCCCCATCTGCGGGGTGGGCATCATTGTTGCTGCCCCCCCTTCATGTTCTGGGTCCCAGGCAGCCCATCTTCCACTTGGCCAGGTCGGATCCAGGGCAGCCTTGAGACGGGGTTCCAGGAGCTGTGCCTGTCCCTCATCCGTGACTCCTCTGGAAGCCCAACTCAGTCCTTGACCTCACCTCAGCCCTTTCCCAGGAGGTACCTGGTTTCCACTGAAATTAGAAGATTGAAGCAGCTATGAGGAGGCATTGTCCTGGCCCCACCCCCTGTAGGGACATATTGTCCCAGGTGGGAGATCTGCCTTCCTGGGAGTGCACAACAGCTCCCTTGGCCGATATTAACCCCGTCCCAGCACCCTGCTCCCACGCTGAGGCTCAAGGCCAGGCGGTGCTGACCTAACCTGACCCTGAGTTGGCACGACTTGTCACCCCGAGGATGTCCTCAGGCCGCACTGAGCTTCTTCATGTGAGGCCTGAGGGGTTGGCCCTAGAATTATTTTTTCCTGTCTGGTCCTGCCCTAGCCCTGCTCACAAACTGCCCTTGGCTCCCCACAGCCTCAGCTCATGCCCACAGAGCTCATGCCTCCTCCCCCATCTTCCCCCTTTCTCCTCTCTCTCCAACCATCCCCACCCCAGGCTGCTCAAACTCACAAGCTCCTTCCTGTTGCTGGAGGGCCTCTGTGCGGTTGTGCCTCCACCTGCAGCACCCTTCCCCCAGCTCACCCCATGCTCTGCACCCTCCTGCCGCAGGCCCATGTCACCTGCTCCCTCCTCAGCCCCCCAGGCTCCCAGCCTGTGTGTCTGTGGACCCTGACCCCAACTGAGATGGCTGTGTGTCCTTTCATGTGTGCTTGCTCCAACCACTCCCCCCACCACCACCACAACCGTCTATGAGCCCAGTGGGGCGGAGACCGTTTGTCCCATGTGCCCAGGCTTCCCAAAGGTATTTTCTAAGCATCACTGAGTAAATTAACCAGCCTGAGAAAGGTGGAGAGATGGCCTCGGCCCAGCTCTCCACTTGGCTCCTGGCCAATAGCTAGCTTGCTCCTGGGGTCCCAGGTTCCTCCAGGGAAGGGAAGTTGCCTTATCAGCCCTTCCCACCTTAGCCTGAGGAATGAGTGTCTTGAAGGGTGCTGCCCCAACTCATATGCACTGGGTGGGGGAAGAACTGCTGGAGGATCCATCAGCCCCCTCAGGCATCAGCCCCCTGGAGCTTCGCCTGCCCATGTTCCTGTGTGATGAGCCTGGCTCAGACAGCCCAGCAGTCTAGCTCCAGAGTGCCTATCAGCCGCAGCCATTCTTCTAAGGAACGCTCTGTCCTTGATGACATTGGTGCTGCTGAGAAGGTCACAGGTGAAGACACCACAGGCGGCCCAGCCAGGCTTCCACAGCTCAGCCGTCCTGGACAAACAGCCTAACCTCTCTGAACACCACGAAGTTGACAGGAAACCCTCTTGGGCAGCGTCGGTGAATAAACTCTCATCAGGGCTGGCCCCTGTCACTTCTCCCTGCAGAGGGAGAAGGGGGTGCAATGGACCAAAGCCTACCTTGTGTGGCTTGAGCTGTCTGGGTGGCCAAGCCCCGATGCTGCACCCAGCCTGGCCCGTGGCATCCCATCGGGTGACTCCTGGGGCTGGGACCCTGGCCTGTTGTAGCCAAGGTGCCTGCAGAGCGGAGGGTCATTGCTGCTGCTAAGGGGCACTGCCAGCCACAGCTGGAAGGCGCCAGGGAAGTTGACTGGAGCCAGCATGCTGATAAACACAAAAGCCAGAGCTCAGCCCACTGGCCCGACCAGCAGGGGCAGTCATGCTGGGCCACTGCCTGACCTCTGCCTCAGTTGGCACTGTCCCTGGGCACCACAGGACCTGCTGGGAGCTGGCTATCCCTATCTCAGGCTGGCAGGTGGGTGGTTGGGACAGCTGCTTCTGGCACAGAGACCTCTCTCTCCTTAGTCACAAGCCTCTTACAGAGTTGGTTTGTGTCCTCATTCCATGGGCACAGTTTAGAGAGAGGCCCAGAGGAGAGGAAGAATGTACCCTTCACCAACATTCTAAGTACATGCCAAGTCCATGTAGACTGGCCTGGTCATGGCATTTGATTTCCATTCATCTCTCTGATGCCCCCACCCTGGGAGATGGCTGGGGAAACTGAGACAGAGTTTCAATCACTTGGTGGAGGTCATGTGACCAGGAAGTAAAACAGAGCAGAAACTTGAACCAACCCAATCCTGGGCCTTCCTGCTGGGGAACACTCACCATGCAGCCTCAGTTTTCTCAGCTGCAAAATGGGGCTGTAATATGCACACAAGCCAGGTCAGGAGATGGTGTTGGTTCAAGGTTCAAGCTTCCTCCTCGCTTTCCTGCAGGACCTGAAATCCCCTGGGGATACACTGGAGCAATGTCTCAGCTGTATTTCTGCTGGGCCATCTACTGGGAAGCAGGTGGCAGCTGGGGGCTCAGGAGAGGAGGCTAGATGGGATACCAGGAGTCAGGACTTAGGATACATGCCTCAGTCTCCCCCTTCTCAGAGGGCCTGTGAGACATGGGACACCCTGCAAGCGCTTGCACGGACCTGAGATAGGAGCTATATTTCTGCCTTGCCTCCTCCCACGGTTCCCTAGCTCTGAACTTGATCTCCACCAGCCCAAGCCACACTTAGGAAACAAGAGCTGCTAGTATCTGGGAACATTTGTAACCCTCTCCACCTAGGAGCTTAAAGGAGTGCCCTTGGTGAGTCAGAGCAGAGTGGTCTGGGGGAGGCCAGATGTCTGGCTGAGCATGGGGCTGCAAGTGTCCCCAAACGCACCCTGGAACTCAGATCACAGAAGCTGAGCACGCAGGCCAGGATCACATGCTCCCACCAGAAGGTCACTGGAAAAGCTGAGGTATAAATTCTCTGGGAGCTGCCCTAGAACGGGGAGGTTGAAATGGAGGCGTCCTTATCCATTTCCTAGGGAGGAACCTGAACTCACCAGTGCCTTGCCCAAGGCTGCACTGGCTGAGCGTCAGGGGCTGAACAGGGATTCCCTGCCTGGCTGCACTCTTGATACTGCCTCGCCCCTTTCGAAAGGCAAGTGTGCTGGGTTCACACCCACACACAGCCGTGGACGTGCTGTGTAACCCTGGGCAAGGCCCTTGACCTCCAGCACCGTGACTGCAGTGGGGCTCTGGTAGCCTTGACCTCAGGGGGTTGGGGTTAAGAATCAAAGTAAATGTGCCAAAGGTGCATTCGGGGAGGAGGCTGGCGGGGACATCACTGTCCCGCGAAGGAGGAGGCTCGGACTCCACAGGGCCAGACCCTTCCAGAAATACACTCTGCAAGGGTGGAAGTCCAGCGTCCTCGCATGGCCCCGGGCCGCTCGTCCTCCACTGTAGGGCAACGGCAGGGATGCGGCAGTCCCTACGCCGTAGAGCCAGAGTCCGCGGCCCAAATTGGAGCCCTTTTCTACTTGCGCTGCTGGGACTCTGCACCTTGCACACCCGCCCGGCCACTGGCGGCCGCGCCCGTTCGTCTGGGCCTCGCAGCCAACCCGCACTACTCTTCAGGCTACGCCCCCCATACCCTTGTCTCCGCCTGCAGGGCATACCAACGTTCTAGGGGCCACGCCCACGCCCCCGCGCAATTGGCCGCTGGGTCTGCCCATCGCCATTGACGCCTCCAATCCATATTCCCTTCCAGGCCCTTGCCTCTCAGCGCCTCGCGCCCAGCCGGACCTCCCGAAGCACCCACAGCTCCTCCCAGGGGCTCCGCCTCTGTCCCGTAGCGGTTGGCCTCAAAGGCTGCCCCTCCGCCTCGTGCCCACCAATCTCTGCCGTCTCCCGCGCTGATTGGCCAGGGAGGGGCCAATCAGGGCGCGGGGTGGCCCCCTCCGGTGGCGCGCGCTAGGGGTGTGCGAGGCGGGGCCGAGGAGGCTGGAGGTGGCGGCGGCGGCGGTGCGTCCCAGCCGGTGAGAGGCGCGGGGCGGGCCGGGCTGGGGGCTCACGCCTTGCGCCGAGCGAGCCGGTCTGGGGGCTTGGGCTCGACGCGAGAGGAGCGTCGGCCCTGTCACGGGTTTTGGGGCGGGGGCTGAGAGGCAAGGCCAGACAGCGGCGTCAGGGTGCAGGGGGAGGTTGAAGCACCCCTCCTAGACTTCAACACCTACGCCCAGTATCCTGACACCTCATCCCGAGACCCCCGGACCTTGACACCGACACCCGCGTAGGTGCTCCCCGAGGGCCTCACAGCCAGTCACTCGCATCCCACGCACACCTTACGCCTCATCCCTTCTCGTTTGCACCTCCGTACACCTGAGACCATCTCCTTCATTTTTACCCCTCGACATCCCCAGCTTCATGCCCCCCAAGGCTTCTAAAAACTGAATCTACATCCACACATGCAGCTAAGTCTCTCTTCCTTCCCTGGCAGCTCCTTCACACTTGACACTGTAACCTCACTTATAGACACCCTCATACACATCACCTGAGCCTGTCTGAACCCCCTGACACACTTATGTGCTGGGGCTATGTCCCTTCCCAGGCCCCAGAGCTGAGCCTGCACTCCACTCGCTCATACCTGAGCCTAAACACTGCCCCCTCCCCCGGCCCCCCACGCACATCGGGGCCTGTTCCTACCCCTCCCTGACCTTCCTCACATTCAGGTCTGTGTCCCTCACACTGACCCCCTTCTTCACCAGCCTGGGTTAGTGCCCTTAGGAACCACCTCCATCCATCTCTTCTGCCTCCCAGCAGCCCCATCACCTCCTCCGCCTGGTTGGTGCCCCTCTCTAGCTGCCCTCATCCCGTAGCTTCAGCCCTTCCCTTATCACCCCTTGCTCACACCTGTGCCCCCACCTCATACCTGCATATGCCCCTCTTTAGTCCTTCCTAACCCCCCCAGGTCCTTAACTTTCACCCAAACATTGTGTCCCAGGGTCACTGCATCCCCCAACTACTCCCTTACACATAAACAAAAGCTAGCTAGGTATTACTTCTTAATGATAACTGTGCCTGACAGGGTCTAAAAGTGATTTCCATGCCTTAGAATTGTCCCCTCAGATAGACAAAATCATAATTGTCCCCACTTTACCAACCACAAGCCCAAAGCTACTCCAATGCAGTGCGTAGATCCCACCCTCTCCTGTGTTGCCCACATGTTGTATTTCCATCTGAAGGATCAGGGAGGGGAGCCTTCCTGTTCTCTCTGCCCGCCCCCAAGCGTGACTTTGATGGGTCTGGAAATGTTGAGCTGGAAGGGGTGGCCCTCTAGCTGCCAGAACCACCTGAGCCTGGAGCCCCGGGGCAGGGAAGAGGCGGATTTAGCAGGAGTGGGTTTGGGCTGTAGCTGAGCAGATCTGGGCAGAGTAGACCTGGGCAGCCTGCCCAAGTGTGTGACCATTTAGGGTTCCGGGGCCCAGGAAGCTGCTAAAGCCATGAGAGTAAGGAAACACTCTGGAATGAGGGACCTCATGTTTCACTGCCCAGGCTGAACTGCAGAACTGGAGCTCATGGGTGCTTTTTCTGGAACTTTGCAAGTTCCCAAGAGTGTGATTTAAGTGTACAGCAGAGAAAGAGGTAGGTCACTTTGTTGTTTAAAATTGGTGTAAAGCTGCTTCCTGTGAGGCTGGCGTAGCACTTCTTAACCTCCTCCTGTCTCACTTGCAAAGATGAGGTCGGAATGTTCCAGAGGATCATGTCATGTTCAGCTTCTCCTGTGGAAACTGAAACCATTGAGGTTTTCTGTCCAGCTTCATAAGGGAACATTTAAAACATTCATGTGGGTGTGGATACATGTATATTGTAATACGTGTGTTTGTGTGTGTGTGTTTATCTGTATACACACATATACATGTATGTTGTTGTTGGCATTGTTAGGTGCTGTCGGGTTAGTTCTGAATCATAGCGACCCCATGTACAACAGAACGAAACACTGCCTGGTTCTGTGCCAGCCTCACAATTATTGCCACGCTTAAGCCTATTACTACAGTCACTGACTGTGTCAATCCATCTCATTGAGGGTCCTGTTTTTCGCTGATCCTCTGTTTTACCAAGCATGATATCCTTTTCCAGGAACTGGTCCCCACTGACAGTATGACCAAAGTACAAACACGCATACACACGCACATATATATATGATAAGGAGCTCTGGTAGCATAGTACCTAAGGCATTTGACTGCTAACCAGAAGGCTGGCTATTCAAACCCACCAGCCACTCCTTGGAAGGAAGATTGGGCAATCTATTTCTGTGGTAGTAGCACCTCAGAAACCCAAGGAGGGGTTGCTATGAGTTAGAGCCAACTCAGTGGCATGAGGGTTTTTTTTTTTACTATGTATACAATACACAGGGAGCTCTGGTAGCATAGTGGCTAAGACACTTGCCTGCTAACCAGACGGCTGGCGGTTCAAACCCACCAGCCACTCCTCGGAAGGAAGGTTGGGCAATCCTACTTCCGTAGTGATACTGCCTCGGAAACCCAAGGAGGGGTCGCTATGAGTCAGGGCTGACTCGATGGCACATAACAACAACAACAACAATACAATACACATACATGTGTGTGTATGTGAACATATACACATCCACATGTGTACATACGTGTACATGTGTGCACATATACCTACAGACCAACATGTACCCATTTGCACACACACATATACTTGTGCACTTATATGTAAATGTATACAACCATACACATACATGCACATGCATTGCTGTTGTTAGCTGCCATCGAGTTGATTTCAACTCGTGGTGACCCCACCTGTATGAGAGTGGAACTGCTCTAAAACATTTTCAAGGCTATAACCATTAGGAAGCAGATCACCAGGCCTTTCTTCCTGGGCACCTCTGGGTGAGTTCGAACCACCAACCTTTCAGCTAGTAGTGGAACCACTACCCAGGAACTCCTGCACACCCATGTATACACACATATATATTGTTGGCTGATTCATAGCAACCTTATGTATTACAGAATGGAACTACTCCAGAGAGTTTTCTTGGCTCTAATTTTTTACAGAAATGGATCACCAGGCCTTTTTTAAGCAGTGCTGCTGGTGGGTTTGAACCAACAAGCTTGTACCACCCAGGCAATATGTGTATGTGGTTTATTTAAACATTCATGCATGTGTGTGTATATATATATAATTTGACAAGGTAAAAAACTAAAATCAAATAGTATAAAAGGGCTGAGAGTAAAAGCAGGCCAGTCTCCCCTCTGCCGAGGTACCCCCTGTGAAGAATTGTGTCCTCCTAGAGATAACCCACCTCTGAGGAAGGCTGTATATTCCCCCATCTCTTTGACCCATCAGATTTATTAGACGGAAGTATCGGTTGTTTCACCAGTCCCTTACACATGGCCAAGTTGTTGCTTGTATTTTGCTTTTGCAGAAAGCTGCCATGGATAGGCTTGTGCATTCATCAAATAGGGGGTGAGCATTTGCTGGTCCCCGCAGTGCCCGAGAAGAGTTTAAAACCGCCCTGCCTTGTGACCCATTCTGTCTGCATGACTTCTCGGAGTGGCTGGGTCAAAAGGCACATTCCTTCACTTTGTTCCCCCACACACACCTTGAAGTTGTACCGGTTTTACCCTGCCTTCTGTCCACTGTGAAGTTGCAATGTCCTATATTGTCCCCCTTCCCTGTGCCCAGAAAGGTCATTATCAAGTTTGTTGGTCTCTAGTCTGATGAGAATACAGCACGAGGATCTTTTGAAAATCGCAGCTGTGTGTACTGCCGCATCCTGGGTGTTCTGGCTGGTATGGTGACAGTGAAGCATTAGACTTGTTTCACTACATGTTTCTTTTCCAAAAAAACAAAACCAAACTCACTGCTGTCGAGTCAATTCTGACTCATAGCAACCCCCATTGGGTTTCCAAGGCAGTAAATCTTTACGGAAGTAGATTCCCCATCTTCCTTTTGTGGAGCAATTGGTAGATTTGAACCGCCAACCTTCTGGTCAACAGTCAAATGCCTTAGGCACCGTTTCTCTTCCACAGTCTGAGAAATCTCTGAGTCCTTCCTAGGCAGAGGTCTGAGAGCAGCCCTGGGCTTGAGGGCTCCTTGCAGAGAGGGGGATGCAGCCCTGCAGAGCCAGGCAGAGAGGGTCGCTCCAACATTGGCACGAGTTGCCTCGGGAAGAACAGTCGGCTGGGAGAACTGTTCAGCTGTTGCTTTTTTTTTTTTTTTTTTAATGGGTGTAGCAGAAGAAAGACTAGGATGTCACATGACATGGAGAGAAGTCTGTGATGTTAAATCTATTTGCAGAGTTGTTCTGTGGCAGCCATGAATTCTTACTGTTGGTGCCAGGTGGGGAGTGGATTGTCAGACTGAGAGGAGTGACTGAGGGCGGTGGTGAGGCCTGTTTCAACAAGGCATCCATTGGTGTTTGTCTGTGTCTGTGTTTCTTTCCTATTTGAGCAACTGGAAATGAAAAGCCAGTTGCTGTCCAGTCGATTCTGACTCACAGCAACCCCATATGTTTCCGAGTAGATCTGTGCTCCATAGGATCTGCACTGGCTGATGTACTGGGAGTGGATGGCCAGGCCTTCCAAACCGCCAGCCTTTCGGCTAGCAGCCAGGCATATTCACCGTGTGGAAATGGATGGGATCATTGAGGTTATCCGAATTGTTAGCGTGTTTGGGTTTTGTAAGAGAGCGATTTTGAAGCATGCATTGCCTTCTTCACTTTATGAAATATGTCATGGCAAAAACTAACATTCATGGATAAACAAAAAAGGCACATCCAATAATAACACTAACACCCAACTCAGGAAGTACTACAGTCCCCTGTGGCTCTGCTCTGGCCCCAGAGCTATTTTTAAACTATGTTCTTCAACATCTGTCATCTTTACCAAGCACCTTTTTCTGATACCTCCTTGGGCCAAGGACTTGGATCCCAGAGTCTCTGTGAGGTTCTGTAAGGAAGGAGCCAGGATTCCCGCCTGCTGAGAGCTTGGCCAGCAGGGCCACTGTGTGTGGGGGGGGGGGCATGGCCCCAGGACAAGGTAGCAGGTCAGTCTGAGGAGCAGAGGGGCAAGCATGACGCTGCCTGATGCCTCTGCTAAGCCAGCCAGGGTACTGTTTGAGCAAGTGCTTATCCAGGTGCCCGTGGGGTGTGGGTGTTGTTTTTTTTTTTTTTACCCCCTCCTTAATTGTGGAAATATACACAGCAAAATAGACACCAATTCAACCATGTCCACCTGAACAATTCAGTGACTGTACATTGATGACATTCTTCAAATTGTGCAGCCATTCTCACCCTCTTTCTCTGAGTTGTTTCTCCTCCATTAACATAAACTCACAGCCCCCTAAGATTCCTGTCTAATCTTTCTGGTCGCTGTTGTCAATTTGATCCCATACAGATAGTTCTTTTAAAAGACCACAATGCTCAAGGCAGACAGTCTTTACCAGTAGGCTAACTACTATTTGACCTTAAGAAGATGTCGGGATAATTTTTGTTTAAGGGTTAAACGTTATCTCAGGGCAATAGTTTTGGGTGTTCATCCCGCCTCAGTGGCTCCAGGAAGTCTGGATTCCAGAAGAATTTGAAATTCTTTTCCTTTTGATCAGGATTCAAGGAGCCCTGGTGGCTTGTTGTTGTTGTTGTTATGTGCCCTCGAGTCGGCCCCGACTCATAGCGACCCCTCCTTGGGTTTCCGAGGCAGTATCACTACGGAAGTAGGATTGCCCAACCTTCCTTCCGAGGAGTGGCTAGTGGGTTTGAACCGCCAGCCTTCTGGTTAGCAGTCAAGTGCTTTAGCCACTATACTACCAGAGCTCCTTAAGTATCCAGCTTCTAACTGAAAAGTTAGGGGTTCACATCCACCCAGAAGCTTTATCTGAAAGACAAAAACCTGGTGATCTGCTCCCATAAAGATGGCAACAAAAAAAAAAAAAAGAAAGAAAAGAAAACATCTCTAGGATAGTTCTGCTCTGTCCCAGGAGGCTTTTATGGGTCAAAATCTTCTCAACAGCACCCAATAATAACAGTGATTAGGATCATTCTATAGAATCTTTGATCAAAAACATTCGGTAATGTGCCTCTGTTGTTTCGATCAAGAAGAGAGCTGATGGGATCAGACTGCAGTTTGAGGGGCTGGCAGGGTCAGGGGAGAGTGTGTCCCTCGCCCTCCAGAATGGCCTATGGGTGTGCAGCCCCTGGGTGGTGGTGGTGGCTGTTAGAAATCCAGCTCCTGCGACCTTCTGTCCACAGAATGGAACATTGCCCATCCTGGGCCATCTCCGTAGCCATTGGTATGTGTGATACCATTGTGTCTGTGTGTCCGTCTGTCTCGTGGAAGCGCTCCTCATTTTTGCTGACCCTCTGCTCTACCAAGCATGATGTCCTTTTCCAGCAATTGGTCTTTACTGATGACGCACCCAAAGTAAGTGAGATAAACCCTCACCATCCTTGCTCCTAAGGAGCATTTGGGTTGCATTTCTTCTTAGACTGATCTGTTGATTCTTCTGGCAGTTCATAGTATGTTCAATACTTTGGCTAGTGTCACAGTTTGAATGGTATAGCTTCTAACATCATAGCAACACGCAAGCCGCCATGATATGGACAGGCTGAGACGGGTGGTGGCGGCCCCTCGGAACCCTCTTACTTACCTCCCCTCCCAGATGGGAAGGGTCTGGAGACAATGAATATGTGTGTTTTAATTTCTGGTTTTGTTGTCCTTGAACAAATGCCTCCTGGGCTTTGAGGTCAGTCCTGTGATTATCCCTGTTTACAGAGGGTAATGAAGCTAGTGATGGTTTAGTGGTAGAATCCTCACCCTCCATGTGGGAGATGTGGGTTCAATTCCCAGCCAGTGCCCTCATGCACAGCCACCAGCCATCTGGCTGTCAGTGGAGGCTTACGTGTTGCTATGACGCTGAATAGGTTGCAGTGGAGCTTCCAGGTCAGGAAGAAAGGCTGACTCTCTACTTCTGAAAGTTAGCCGGTGAAGGCCCTGTGGATCTCAGCGGGCTGATCCGCAGCCA